CGGAGATATTGAACTTTAAAAGTGTAAGTTTTTTTTATGGACACCCTGTATTTTAATGTTAATATTTTAAAATCATTACTTCAATATTTATCTTGTTACATAGGATGTATAATATATTCTATAACTATATTAAAGCGATGTTCAAAAATATTATCAGAGCCATGCGCACAGATAGCATCGGACAGCAAAACGTGACACCAGCTGCACGAATCCCATTATATAAAAAAATCATTGCCAGGAGGAAACCCGAGAGCAGGAAATGGAAAAGTCCTGGATCGAGCCTTGAAGGCCTTAAATTCCTGCTGATCAAACGGGTGAACCGAACGGGAGACCGAAAAACCATCATCACACGATTCTGCTCCGTCAAGGCGGGAATTGAAAGTTGCGCGGAACATCTGGCAATCCTGCCTCGGTTTGGCAACGTAACACTCAGGCCTCCTCTCCCGAGTCCCTCCATTTCGCTTCATGCGAGGCTGCCCCCCTTCGACCCTCCCCTCCCGCTTCCAGCGGATTAGAGGAGGTCAGGCCACGGCTGACCCAAGCAGGAATTGCATTCGCCTGCGAGAGCGGGGATGCCCAACCCCCCAACAGACACCATTTTCCTTGCCTTTTCTCATGGCATTATCCGTTTCCAGCGCTTCATTAAATTTTACTCACTCCAACAAGGAGAACAAAGATGATTCTGTATTCTGGCAAGAGGCGTTACAAACACATTACCAAGTGGAAGCTTATGTTAAGTGGAAATTACTTGCATTTCACGCGCCTCGTTTGTTTGGTCCAGGTTGGACCCGACCGAACATTTAATTTTTTAAATTTAATTAAATTTAATCTGCAGCTTAGCAGATCCCAAATCCCACAGCACGAATAAGATTGTAGGCGATTTTTTTTACGAGAGACAGGCGAGGGTGAATTAGGAGTCACTGAGCTAGTTCTAATAATAATAAAAAATAAAATAAAATAAAACAACAAGCAGTTACTACTGCAGTAGACATACGAAAGCAATAACTGCGCCATGTCGTACGTTCGAATCCTTAAAAACCATTCGCACTCACCCCTGTCGTAAGTCTTCAACAAGAGAGCTCCGGATGTCAGTCGACGATATCGCCACTCCCTTGATGTCACGAATTCCATCGACTGACCGGAAGCGGTCGCGATCGGTTAAGTGATTCCGCTCCCAATCGGTGCTCGGTTCCTGGTCGAAAAATCTCGTGACGTCATCGGATGTCCTCACTTGGTGCGAGCTGTGGGCCTGCGTTGAGGGATTCTTATCGGGATGGAGCGTGGCAGGAGGAAAGGGAGAAGGAACGGAGAAATTCATTGAATATGAGTTATCTCGGGCACAAGCAGAAAAATTTTCAGGTGTGTCCACGGACTTGGAACAAATCTATAGATAAAGGTTTTTGAACAAAGAGGGGGGATTTTAGGGGGGGAGGGATTTTAGGGGGGAGGGGGGGAGAGCAAAATACCCTATTCCTTAATCATTGGTCACTCCTTGAACTTGTATATCTATTCTCAAATAGATCCGAAGTTTATTATGAATGTACACGAGAGTCGCAAATAGACTAATGGATCTATGCTAATGGAGTTTTTATTGTTATTACATCTGTTTCTAAACAAATTAAACTTCGAAATGAGACCAATTTTATCGGCCCGAAAATATAAGGTCGATTCGGGGAAGGACTTCCCATTATTTGGAAGGAACATCGCTGAGAAAAAAAAAACGAGTTGCTCATTCGAAATCGATTTTGGAAGTCGTGGCCGCTCGTTCCAGTCATGATTGCTTCATCTCGAACCCGAACCTGTGGAATTTAGGGTTCTTGTTCCTCTTCGAGGTCGTCCACAAACGCGAGGCGCCTCTTCTGGATCTCGTCAGCATCGATCAAGATCGTCAGCATCGATCAAGATCGTCAGCATCGATCAAGATCGTCAGCATCCATCGCATCATCGCTCATGGAATCTGGCCTGCAAGCGGAATCCGGTGACGACCCGTTTCGAACACCGACTCGTCGTCGAGCAAGTACAGTACCCCGTCGAAGAGAGAGAGAGAGGGTCGGCAGCCAGCAGCCATCAGCCATCAGCCATCAGTCATCAGCCACCGTGAACCAGTCGAGCAAGGACGAAAGCCACCGTGACTCATGAAGAAAAGCTTCATACGAGAAATGTTTTCTAGAATGAAAGTCGCCAACCCGAACTCCATTCTCATTTTACGTTACGAAAAAAAAGGAACCGCGATGGATCCTCCCCGCGATGACGCAATTCCCCCGGATATGCGCGGTTCCGCCGTCGTTAGCACCCGACGAGCCATCAGTCTTCGGCTGCGATTGCGAGCAGGCGCGACGGGTCGTCTGGACGGGTCGTCCAGGCAAGGCAACACGTAACAGTGCCCTACATACGCGCTGCTGCGACGCGTCCGAAGAAATTCGAAATTCCAACGCGGAAACGTTCGACGGAACGGAGTTCTCTCTTGCTCGCCGAGAAGAACCGGAATTCGAATCGGTCCGACTGAAGTTATGAAGTCGTCGGTCGGAGGCAAGCGATGTCGACGTCGTCGAAAGTCGTGCATAAAATGGATCCGAAGGAAACAGGCTTGCTCAATGAGTCTTGCGACCTGAATCTTTCATGAGGGCTCGCATATCTTATTCTATTTCATTTATTTGAGGTTTGGCGATGCTTAAACTCGAACGAGGATTCCGCGAGCGGTTTGGCAAGAAGAGTTTTGAGAGGCTCTCCCACCTGTGGTCATTCCTGACCTCAGGTGGGACTTGCTTCCAATGTTCAGACATATTCGTTCCCAATACAAAAAAAAGCGGATCCGGCGATGCCAAATCTCTGTTGTCCGGGAAGTCTCGACGAAACTTTAACCGAAAATTATCGAAATACTCAGGATAAAATAATGAAGGAAAATCGCCAAGAACCGCTGGGGCATCGAATTCGTGTTGTGCATCTCAATGCCAAGTCAATCAGCGCCAACGCGATCTCAGTATGATATCACCCGTGTTGTTATGAGGCGCATATGAACCCGATGACGACAGAGGACTCAAGGCTGTCGGCAGATTGAATTTCATCGCACGGAACCAGTCCAAGCCTTCCTCTGTCCTCGAGGACGGAATCACTCGGATTTCACTCAGATTTCACTCGAATTCGCAGAAATTCCGATTTGTCATATAGTCGATGATGTTGGGGGGAGGGGGAGGGGGTGGGGGAGGGGAGGGGGTGGGGGGGAGTACCGCATGGAAAGCACAGTTGACATTCTGCCTCCGATCAAGGGGGTAATTCGCGATTTAGGCGCCATCTCGCTTCGGTAGTGAGAAGCTTCCTTGCTCGATAAAAAGCCTAGATGACTCGCCCGATGGAGTGCTCAAATGGCGCACAGTGTGAATTTAATGTTCTGGCAGTAATGAGATCTGCCTCGTTTGCAAAATTGACATTGTCAACCAATCAGCTAGGAGCCTGCGCGGACAGGATGCTGGCTGAAGTGATCGAACGACGCCGTTAATTTTATTTGTTTTTTTTTGTCGTTTTATTTTTGGAAATTGCAATTTTTTTCTGCAAATGCCGAAATAGTTGCGAGGGGAGACGAGACTCACCAGGACGAAAACGAGAGACTGGTTCCAAGACATCGCCGACGCATTCCTGAGCTCACGCCCTTCACGCATTTCGAGTTCACGCCCTTCACAAAGGCGCAAGAAGAGGAAGCCCGTTACATACATAACTGTGAAGCCCATGCAATGTGCAGAAGGAGGATTTTCCGACTTTGGCCGTTTTTTCGAGGGGATCCCTTCATCTTGGGTAGCCAAACTGTGTGACACTTGCATGCCAATTCATTCTATTTTTCACGAAATTAGAATTATTCTGTACTAGGTGGGAACTTTTGATTTCGGCCTGCATGGCAGGAAAATTAAAGAGGGAAGGGAATGAGTCAAAGTTCTCTAAATTTATTTTCTTCCTTTTTTCTGGCCGGAGCAGAGCGGTTAGCACAATGCATGCCCAAGGCCGCTGGCCGCATCGCACCGGCCATCGGTAAAAGGTTATTTTTAACGTTTGAAACGAAGGAGTTGACGATCGGCACAGAACACGTACGGCCGTTTTAAGGTGACAGGATCCAGGGGCTTCGGTGCATACGGTCGCACAGGTCGACGAAACACGTCACGGATTCCTTCGAATGCTCACCTCGACAGAATTCACCTCTTCGGGGTGACGTCTCGAATGATCGCGAAAGGTGCTCTACTCATTCTCAGAATTCTTTGATATTACCTGGTAAACTCCCCTCCTACCCCACATCAGGGTTACTTACCCACCGTCCTCTTACTCGAGTCTCCTCATTTATCTATTTTTCTCTTCACCTTCTGCCTCTTTATGAGAGTATGTATATTTGTAGTTTTTCAGATATGACGAACTCAACGGACCAATTGGTCTTGAAAGAGTGATGGAATAAATATTATTATTAAATATTATTAGGTTTCGCAGCCGGGTAGGCCTAGGCCTGCCCCCCTCATATGCGGAGGCTTCGGCGAATCAAATGCGACACTGCCAGATATCCTCAGATCCCATCAGAGCAAAACTCCTCCTTAGACGCTGCACAGTTGACAGGAGACAAACGGCAAAAGGACAAAAAGAAAACCGCGTAAAATGGTCCTAGCGGAGAATCTTATCTGCCCAGCTCGTTCACTCTTGACTGCTCCTGTCACCTAGCGGATTTCAGGGAAACTGCACGCTTCTCTTGCTAATAAGGGTGAGAGGGCGCTCTTGCCGGTTTTCCGCCGGTAATAGTGGCGTCCTCCGTTCGCAAGTCGCACGTTGATCTCCATTCGTCTTGGTCTTGATTGTTTTTTGGTTCTCTTGGGTCTTCCGAGTGCATTCATCATGTCCTATCCAAGAAGCAGCACGGGAAACACCGGGAGGGTGCAGAAGGTTATGGTTCAGCCTATTGTATCCTTTACCAGCTCCAATTGGCCTAGGCCTAAGCGAGTCAGACTTACATGTTTCTAATGGCGCCAATAATGCCACTGGTAGGAATACCACTACTACAGCATTTCATCCAGCTTGTAGCATTCCATGTGCAACAATGCATGCATGAGACCTGCTCTCGTCGGCGTTACCAGAAGTCCAATTTGATCTTCCCATGGTTTGAGAATTGTCCCTATTATTTTTAATAACCTAACGTTAGCTCAAGCAGCAAATCCTTGGGGTCATACAATGTCGCGAGCACGAGCTGAGCACCATCCACCCTACTTCTATGTTTGTCAGCTGGAAATGAGAAACTTATTTTTTTTCGGGAAAAAAGGAAAGATTTTGCTACAGTATCCATTCCTGTTCTGGTCAGCTTGTTCTAGTTGGTGAAACTTCCCTCAGTGATATTGTTCTTTAGTTATATCACAGCTGAGCACACAACAATAATACAATTGTGCTCTGGCATGAATGCAGGAACCACCTTAAATGGGAGTGTTTGGACAATTTTCTGTAAGCCTAGCCCTAGAGTCTTCTTAGGATCTTGAAATATGTTTCAGTAAGTTACCAAATTCATGTATATAGGCTTTATTACTTTCTGATGCTGCTTTCTTAGCCAGAACTTTTTTGCCAGGTCATTTTTGAAGGTTTTAGGCAAAATATTAACTTATTAGCCCCAGTGTGCAAATTGGCCATGGGTGAATATAACCCCCATTTGACAAAGTGTACTCGTATTGAGCAGAGTAAGTCCCTTCTGATGTTACCACTTAGACTGAAAGCACAGTGAGTTTTCATGAAAACTCAAATTGGTTGGCAAAACCTAATGTTCCACTTGACATTGATTATTCTGGTAAGGATTCCTGAGTTCCCAGAGCAAATAAAATGTTGAATAAAGTGCATGAAGTTAAATTGAAAAATATGCAATAAGTCATGAAGCTCTACTCGGACATAATGAAATAATTAAAATGACATATTTTTGTTCTAATGAGAGTAAATTCTAAAAGTTGAAGTTTACAGTAGGAGTTTAATATGTGACAAAATTTTGAAAGTTAAATATAATGTTGAACATGTTCTAACTCTACAACACAGTAAATTCAACAGTTAAGTTTCCATGTAGTTTGATGAGGATTAGGAATTCCAGGTTGTTGCAATCCTGCAACTGTGGTACAAGTAGGGTTAATTTTCATAATAAAATTTATTAATCATTAGGGCAGTGGCAAGATCTGTATTATTGCATCCTCCAAAAATATATTCAGGAATCAGCGCATAAAAAAAATGTTTCTTTCAGTTTCCAAATTCCCAGCACTGGAGAAATGAATGACTGCAAGCATTGGGAAGAGAATGTCTCAACATGTGATTTTGTGTGCAGTCATCATTTTGCTTGCAATTTATGTTATGATGGGAACATTATGAGGTGCTTAATCATATAACTGGTAAGTTTCTGCATATTGTTGGCAGACTGGGTGATTAGGTTTTTCTGCAAGCAACTCTTGTGTGCTTTGGAGCTTCATTTAACTACTCATAACTAAAAAAAAAAGAACTATCAAGGAGTTGAGCAATCTTGATTAAATTTGCTAAACATTATTGTACTAGTGCACCATAAAGTCAATTCAAGTTTCAAGGGTGTGGGATGAATTTTCAAAGAAAACTTGCCAAACACTTCAACAGTCGCTATGAAATCATACTGATCAACCAAAATTGTTATCTAGCAGAATGTTATTGATAAAATGTGATTTGAGAACTCCTTAAGATGAGTAGAAAAATTGAGCAAAGTTTAAAGGTTGAAAGGATGAAGCAATACAGAGAAAACTTGCTAACTCTTTTGCTGCAGAAATTAAATTTCCCTTCTCTGCAATGCAGGAATTAAGTTTGATGACACAAAAATACAACTGCTGCAGTGAAAGAGTTAAGGAATGGGGGGAGAGGGTGGTGCCGTTCATGAAGCCAGATTCCTTTTTTCTTGTTCCCTCAAACCACTTTTCTGTAGGACCATTAAGAGGCTATCTATAAGGTAGAGACATGATGAAATCAATGATGGCTTTTTCAAATTTTTTTTAGTGTTTGATCCATATAGATTATTTGGAATGCATGCATCAAGTCAATGCATACTAAACATTCCTTAGGCATCAACAAGTTTTCTCTGCATTCCTTCATCCCATGACCTTGAAACTTCATTAATTTTTCTACACAAGTTTTCAAACCACATTACATCAATAAAATTCTCTTAGACCATTTTGAGTGAAAACTAAGATTCCATGGCCACTATTAAAATGGGTGTTTTATTTTAAAAAATTTCAGTAAATGTTCTTCCCACACTCTTGAAACTCTCATGATAAGGGAAGAGTATACAGTGTGTACTCTCTCTATACCCAGAACCTAAGGTGAGTACATTCATCAAACCCATCAGTTATGAAATCCCATGACAAGTATACTTTTCATACTCAATTAAGAGGTTAAAGAAAGATGGTTCTACAGCCAAGTTCTTCGTGGGAAAGGCAACACTCACTCTCACTTTCACATTAAGCTTCTTATCTGGAGGTCTCTTCCATCACATGAAGGGCCAAGAGGTCTCATCTCTGGAGATAGAAGTCAGTGCTGATGTAAAAATCACAGCACCAGTAGAAGGTGAATCCTCTTTGTTCGGATGTGAAAGTCATTCATCGGGAATTGAAGAGGGCACAGGAGCAGCTGATGCTGAGGAAAATTATTTCTCTCAGATGATGCAGAAAATGAAAAAAAAATCATCAAGGATCTCAAAATGTATGTGCCACAATGATTGAAAAATCTCTCTTCAAAGGAGTATTCACAAATATTCAACTGGACATACTATGATTAATTTTTTTAAGTGAAAAAATTGTCAACTGTAGATTACTTACTTTGAAGAGAACTCCTATCCAGAACTGAAATGTCATTTAACAAAGCATTTTCACTAGCTACATTTTTGTGATTTGACATTGTTTGAGATGTGCATTTGACAAGGTCCATTGGCACACCTCACCACCCTGCTCATCAAGCACTGCATGCCCTTCATTATGAGCCATTCCAGTCCCCCAAAACACAAATCTGTGCAGGTCAAGGGAGGTGGGGGTCTCTGGTCAACTTTTCTTCTCTGCTAACCGTGCATAGAGCTGCATCCTTTGTCTTATTTAGTCAAGATTTGCCTTCCTATTGTTGTCTGATAAGTCTTCTTGGAAGTTATTCAATTAGCTAACATGGTAGTTTGTTTGTACCTTAACATCAATTCTCTGAATCAATCCATCAGAGGGAAGAGCTCTCCTTCAAAGTGTTTCGAATGTCCTATTTTTTCATCACATATTGTATAACCCGCATTGTACTGCTCATGGGTACTCTGGGAAAATCAAGGTTTATTAGTGTGAGAAGCAGTGGCTTCCTCTACCCATTGAGTGTTATAGTAGAAAGCTATTTCTGTGTTATTGAGGTAGGATAAAACAGGCTTACTACTGCTACTGTATTGACTACTCTCACAATGCCAAAATCAGAAATCTCAACAAAAGAGCATGAGTAAGAAAAGATGGCATCTGGTTTTATCAGATTGGGGAAAGTAGAGGAAGGTAATTTAAGGTTTCATGAAATTCATTGCTTCCATCTGATTAATTTACCTCTCATCAGATGTAAAATGACATAGAGAATTCATTAACCCCAGAGAATGCAATAGATGTCAGTTTAAGCAGTCAAACTGCTGTCTTTTATCCCTAGTCAGCATATTCCAAGTCACAATATCATAATGTTCTTGTGCCCCATGAATAAGGTACTACACCATAAAAAAGCAGCTGTGGAGATATAGTGGACAGGACTATCTTTTCCTTGATTACCCTATCAAAACCCCAATGTGAGTCATGTATTATATCCTAAATGAAGGGGAACTAAGAGACCTTCCAACCATGAGGAAATAATCGTGATCAGTAGATTTTCAAGCAGGGAACGAGGAAAGAGAGGGCATTATCCACTCAAGCTCAGAGAGTGTGCTTTATTATTTCTTGGAATGGTGCATTAGAATATGAAAAGTAAGTATATTCAATCATCATGAAATATACATGAAGTGTAAAAACAAAAAGTGGCTGGAGCATGATATCAAGGGAATATTAAGGATATGCTTCACTATAATGCCTGAAACTGACTCATTTTCTCAAGAGGTGCTTGAGGAACTCTATAGGGAATGATGAATAATGAAGAATAAAAGCACTTCATGCTGGCTTTTTCTTGCATGCTGCAGTACATAGAGCTCCAGCTGCTGCCAATGCTAGTGGTGTGGGAGATGTTTCAGTTGTCATGTTGTCAGTTACCTGAGGAGCCTATGGAACCATGATTCAGAGTGTGCCCATTCTTAAAGGGGCTCAGAGGCTGCAGTTAACATGATCTGAATTTAACCCTTTGAGGAGTATGCCCGTGTATATCCAGGCTGACAGTCCTGTCCTCCATATATTCACATTGGGAATCTCAGGCATTAAAAAACCCACTCCTCAAAGGGTTAATAATGCACCCTGATTCATATCTTTTTTTCCAGCTGTCTTTCTGAATCCAAACTGAAACAGGCTGTGGCTTGTGGATGCAGACTACATAAGTCCTTAATTAGCAAGTATAGGGGCACATGGTCCTTGCTGAGAACTTTACCTGGTCAAAGTATGTCTAGGATAAAACTTATAATCTTGGTTTACAGTACTTCTCTGACCTATTTAAGCATTATTGTTAGAGTATCCTCTATGGAGCTCAAATAGCTTTTCTCTAGCATTAAAAAAAAGGCCTATTTGGATCAAAAGGCTTTGGATGCTTAAGTCTGTCTTGTGTTGGATCAGCTGATAGAAAGCTGTATGACTTGTGGAACATTTCCTTACAAAAATGTCAGAACCTTATCTTCAGATTCCTGCAAAACAAGGCTCGTGTCTCAATCTGGCTGTACGAAAATGTCAACACACGCATTGAAGGCCACATCATTGGTTTTGATGAGTATATGAATCTTGTCGTCGATGATGCTGTGGAGAAAAACAAGAAAACAGGCAAAGACAAGGCAATAGGCAAGTTAGCCCCCTTTTCTGTATTTTTCCTTAAGTAAAAAAAAAAAAACAACCCTTTTTTTTTCTTGACAGGGAGGATTTTATTGAAAGGTGACAATGTGACCCTCATCCAGAACATTCAAGTAGAACATGTGCCAGGAGATACTCCCATGTCCTACTGATACCACTGGGGAATTTTGGCATTCCTTGTGATACATTGTGACTCATTTTCAGTTTGTGGTATTCCCCAATTGCCATGTTGTTCACCAGCCGTCACACCTCAGTGAGTGTGATTGACAGTGGAAAGTTTCTTAAGTCAGCACTTCATCTGTTGATCCTGTTCTGTCCAGTACTGTGTCTAATGACGTGCAACTTTGCATTCATAAAAAAAAACCTGTCATCCATGCCTAAAAATTTCTCAACCTGTGTGCAAATAAGCAGAAGCAGTTGTGTTTTATATAAATACACATCATTCTTTATTGGCTGAAGATCTTTCCTCCTGTAGTAAAGGGGGCTTCTACATGCAGTCAAATTGGCCTTGTTCAATTGGCTGTATTCATCATACAATAACTTTTTTCAAAGGCATACACTTGCATGATGTATCCTACACAAGAAACAATCGGGATTACACTGGGTAGACACTGAGGTAGTGGATTTGTTTGACAGATCCATTTTCTTCCCACCTCATGAATGTGTGGACAGCAAGAGAAATGGTAAATGACTAGCCTTCTCATGGCATGTGAGGAGTTTGGTCCCTCACGTTACGGACAGGACTAGCAATGTCAACAACTGTCTGCCAATCTGTGCAAATTCATTTGAGATCAATCTACATGAATTGGCAAGCCAAATGGGAGAAAGAGTGGAGTATCTCTGCAAAAATAAAGGTCCTTTTGTTGACACACAGGCACTGGATCGTACAGAGGGGCTTGGTATGATTTACAAGACACCCATGTTCTGATTTTAGATCTTGATGCAAGACACACATTTCAGATGTATATCATGAGGAAGGTGTGGCAGGACAATGGAGCTTCAAAGGGGGTTTCAGGAGTGTGATGTTGGGCGGGATGTTGGTGGAGAAACTGTGAACCTTATTTGGAGACAACTCTTCTGGGGTAATAGGTGTTGGCGACGGGAGGGGGGTTCGCCTCAGTGCATGCTCCCAATAGTCTATCCCTGAGATGCACACTGTGGCTGGTGCAGTCTGCACCTTGTGCAAGCCCAGGAAATCATGCTTCAGTTGCTCTTCGTACTCCAGCAGCTGTCCCAGGAAGTTGAAATTCGGTGCTACTATCACCCTCTTTGATTTCACATACCTGTAAATAAGAAAATACTTTTAAATGCAATTGAATCCTCAGTGCTGGACAATGACAGGTCTAGTACCAATATTTAGAGTTTGAGCTAACATGAGTCCTGGAAAACCTGGCAGGGTAACAAATGGATATACGTGTACATACAGATGCTTGTTTTTTTTATCCAAATCGTCTCATAAATCCTAGCGGTTTTGCTGTAATTGTCAGATGATGTCTCAACAGTTCCACAGAGCAGATTCTCAGACTCTTCAGATTCATAAACTTCTGAGAAAGAAGCATTGAGTCATTTGTCAAGGAGAATGTCATCATGCTCTTACCTTTCATGCAGAACCAAGCAGTATTTTCGTTTTGATATATATACCCATTAAAAAGTTACAACAAAAGTGTATTTTCGAGAATGGCGAAGCCTTTGTGTTCGTACCTGAAGGCTTCCTCGCTGGTGAGATGTAACCGCTTCATGACATATCCAATGACAACAGTGGGAGACCTGGAGATGCCAGCATGGCAATGGACCAGGACATTTCCTCCCGATTCCTGTACCATATCTGCGAGAATTGGAAAGGAAATGACCATGTACAATCGACCTCTGCCTATTTTTAGCACAAAGTAATCGCATGCGGAAGCTGAAGGACTGCATGCAAAAACAATTATTCCTGTCGCTTTCATATACCCGTCTTTGTCTTTCTCATAATTCCCAAACTCTTTTGAGGGGGAACGGGGAAGGGAAGATTTATTTTCCTGCATTTCGGAGAAAAGAGAAATGGTGCGGACCTCATTTCCGGAATTCCACTCGTGGGCGTTCAGACCATTCATTCTCGCAGGGACAACAGAAGCTGTTGGCTATGGGAAGATGAAGGTCTAGTGGAGGTGGGAACACTGAAACTTCCCCCGCACCCGCACCTCCGCAAATATGACATTTTAATGCAAATATAGAAATACGCGCCATTTTCATAATGAGAGACATGTCTCGAGGTAAATTAAGCAAAGTATTGCTTACATAACAGGAGGTAATTTAACTACTTCATTTACATAGACATGGGTTTAAAATGGCCTTCATGCAATATTTATACACGTGAGTAAGAATCCGAGAAGATTCTTGATAAGCGCCAATACTTGGAGCATCTTGATACCAAGATGATACTTTAGCGGAGGGAAACGAGACGCACTCCCTCGTTAATTCAGTCCACATTCGGACCTCCCCTGCTTACATGCAGTTTCTCTTCGATCACAAACTAAGCACATATATCGGGGGAATGAAAATTGAAAGAAAGAAAACTGTGTATGTACCCCAAGTTCCCGTTCGGGAACTTCGGTAAACACAGTGTTTAAATTATGCAAATATATAGATCGTTGTTCATTGCATTACATCTGGCCACCAGAGACTTCAACCGCTGGAATCGGATGGTTCATACCTTCAGCATTCATAATTCTCATTTTAATTTAAATTAATCTCTAGGAGGTCTCCTCGAGACCAATGTCATCCCCTGATGACACCGCAGAAGGGATCCCACGAATCGAACTCGAAAAGAGCCGGCCATTAAGACTCCCATTATTCTTCCTTGACAAGGGGATCGTCCTCGCTCGCACGCGAATGCGTGGGAGAGAGGACGACAATAATAGATCTATCGGGGGGGGGGGGGGGGGAAAATAAAAAAAAACTACATTTTCATTAAGCAAGGAAAGAAGAGGAATGTGCATAGGTTGTCCAAAGACAAAAGACGTTCTTATTCTTGGAACCTTTGCCACCATCATCGATCACTTTTTTTTGTAATTCAATGTC